TTTTTTCAAATTTAAAATCGTCATGCAATTTCCCTTTAGCCTTTTCACATATGTTTGTTTAGAAAAATGCTTCTCCTGCTATCTGTTTTTCTTTTTATCCATACCAAAAAACAGTCTCTCAACATCTTTATCACTTCCCGATCTCTTTTCAAAAAAAAAAACAAAAAAAAAGTTGAAAAACCTTTGGAAAAAACAGCTTTCCTTTGATTGCCTTTTTCTGGCCTAAAATTAGCGATGGTTGGGGGGGGTTTTGTGTACACCCTGGCCAGCCGGTGACATGCACTCCACTTTCATACTTGGGGGGGGGGGGGGGCAAGATCTCTTTTTTAATATCCATAGTAATTTCACCCTTTTTGCGTAGGGTTGGCACTAGAAGTTTTCCTTGGGGCCCAATGGTGTTTTTATTTTGCAGGGGGCAATCACAAAAAGGTTTGGGATAATATGAAATGTTCCGTTTTGTTTTGTTTTGGAAAAGCGACCGCGGTGGCTGGTGGCTTGAAAAACACGGGCCAAAGAAGTGGACATTTTCCGACGGAATTTTTTAGTTTGGCGGGGTTTTTTTTAGCATAATTGAGGAAAAAAATTTTGGGCGATAAAATGTATCGCTGTCAGTTTTTATCTTTAATTTCGATGCCATCGCGGGTTTGGGGGTTTTCCACTGTATAAAATATACATTAATACAAACCATGTATTAGTGTATAAAAAAACAAGAAAAAAGGCACAATCCCCGTGAGGGAACGAAACACAAAAAACCCCACACAAAAAAGAGAGAAGTTTTCCCGACGATTTTTTGGGTTTCCGAACAGTCCCCCGTCTATTTGGGAATCCTTCTTACACAACCCTTTTCCCCTTGTATAAACCCTTACCCCTGGCTTCGTCTCTGAAAGATCCCTTTTCCTCCCCCACTACATTTTTTAAAATGCTCCAAACTTCAGAACACCCGTGACTTAACCTGCCCCCTCATTTTTTTTTTTTTCTTTTTCTTTTCTCCCTTTCCCCTTTCCTTTTTCCTTTTCTCCCCCGGGTTTTCTTTCTCTCTTCGTCTCTTGTTTCTGTTCCTTCTTCATTTTTCCCATTTCCCCCCCTTTCCCCGCCCCTCTGTTGCTTCCCTCTCCCTCAGTGGGCACCTACTCTCTTGCAGGCTCCTTTTTTTTGTATTTGACTGGCTTGTCCCCCTTTAAATTTTCCCACTTCTACCCCCACCCACTTTTAAACTACCCTTCACTACTACTAAACTAAAAACAACTGATGAAAAAAGACACATTTTCCCAGCGTCTGGGTTGTTTTTGTTGGGGAAACTTTTTTGCCATCCAGTGGCTGGGAGGGATGGCGAAAAGTCTACGTTTGGGGACCCGGGGTTTTGTTGCGCATGTGTCAAAAATTTATCTTGCCCCGGTATTATATACCATTCTTGTACTACTACTACTACTACTACTACCACCACCCCCACCTTTTCCTGCCTATATATAGCCTTTTCCGCTCCATTTCCCGGTTTAGTGTGATTTTTGTAAATGGTCCAAGTTTTGGGCCGAAACGTCATTGTAAGCTTTTCCCTTTTATGTGTGGGGTTTTTTTGGGGTATGTATATAGTTTTGTGTAAAGGTTTGAAAGTTGAAAGTGAAAAGAAAAAAGGAAAGGGTTATAGGGTATCAAAGATTTAATAAAGAAAAAAATTTGGAAAATCAAATTGGGGGGGGAGGAGTATCGAGGGAAATGGGTGTTTTCAGATAAATTGGGAGGGTTTTCGGTCCCGGGGGATGGTTTTTTGAAGGATGAGGGTTTAAACATAAAAAAATTGATGAGGGAAAAAAAATGGTGGTTTCGTTGAGGGGATTGGGTTTTTGGGGTCAAAAAAAGTTTTCTTAGGGGGGCAAAAAAAGAGGGAAAGTATGAAGTATAGGTACCAACATTTTATATGGGTGTGGGGTGCAGGGAAACGAGGAGGCGGTTGGGGGGCCGTGGAGATGTCCAAAAGGGCCCAATTTTGTGGTGTAAATATTTTTAAAAGAAAATTCGGAGTGTGGAAAAAAGAAGAAGGTTTGGAGTTTAAAAAAAGTATTAGTCAGAGGGGTGAAGAGGGGTTTTTTGAGGTGGTTTTTGGGCATTTAGAGAGAATGGATCAAAGTAGAAGGACATGGAGAGCGTATAAATTTTGTAGGGGGAAGGGGAAAGGGGGGTATAAAAGGGGGGATCCCCCGAAAAGGTTTTGGGAAAGGGAAGGGGGGAAGGGAGGTTTTTTGGGGCGAGGGCTTGGGCTTCCCGCCGGCAGCACGAGCCCCTTTCGATAGGATGAATGGAGACGAATGGGATTTTGGGGCCCGACGATCTGTTGGGGTGGGACAGGGAAAAAACGTGGACCCCCGTTTACGATATTATTTCATTCCAGAAGTATGTTTTAGGGGCCAGTATTTGGGGAATTTTGTTCCCATAAAGGGAAAATTTTTGAATTAGATTATCCCTTTCTGACCCCCAAACATACACATTTCAAAAAGCATTAAAATAAAAACACTTTTCATAATTGGGGCGGGATTGGGAGCTGATCGTAAAAACCCGGGGGGCCAAATGCATTTTGTGAAGGGATTCAGGGAAAACCCCGGTAGTTTTTTTTTAGCCAGACTTGAGTCCTGGAAAAAGGGAAATACAATGCCTGCCTCTAAAAGGGGGGGTTCGGATATTAAACAGTTTGGAGGGATATGTCCCTGTATGTTTTAACGTTTTATTTCTTCTAAGCTTTTTTGTTTCTTGAGCACCTCTGCCAAAAAAAGTTTATTATGCCCTGAGTGAGGGAAAAGTGTTGAATGTTTTGAATTTTTTTTCTTTTTGGGGTTTTTCTTTCTTTTTTGGGGGCACCCTGCCTCGGTGGGAGATGGGGCCGGGTTGTTAAAAAAAAAATATATAACATTTATATAAAAAATGAATAACTTTAAAAAAACTTTTAAAATTTTAGAAAATTTCCAGGGCATAAAAGGAGAATGCAGTGCTCATGGGAATTTTAAACAAACTAAAGGGGGGGGAAAGGGACCATATTTGAAAAATCAGGGGAGAGGAAACCGTTTAAAAACGAGTTTTGGGGGCATAATTTTTAAATGTTTATATGTATCCCTTTTTGTTCATATGTATCTTTATCCCTTATGCTTCTAAAAATGTTTTTATTCGAGCACCTCCCGCAAAAAAAGTTTAAAAAGTTTTGAGTGTGAAAAAAAGTGTTGAATATGATGAAAGTAAATTTTTTTTTTGGGGTTTTTTTTTCTTTTTTTGGGGCACCCCGCCTCGGTGGGAGACCCGAAATTGTTGAAAAAAAAAAAAAAAAAAATTTTCAGAACACCGTAAGGGAAACTTTCCTTAAAAAGGGGGGCCCCAGTATATTCATGAAAAAAAAGTGATATTAAATCAGGGGATAGTTTTAGATTTTAGTACTGTATTAAAAAAGTGGGTTCTTTGATAAATTGCCAAGGTAAGCAATGAAACCCGGAAATTTTGTTTTATACAAATTTTTAAAAAAAAATTTAATACAGTGGTACCTTTTTGGGTAAAAAACAGCTCAAAACCGAACAATTATGTAAGGTATTTAGTAAGTGCTTTTGTAAGTTTAGTTTTTTTTGGGGGGCTGAAATGGGGTAACTAATTTTCTTTTTTCCTTATGGGACCAAATTCGTTAGGAAAAGGGACTCCCCATTAAGTTTGTAAACCCCCAAAGGGACCAATGTAATTTTTTAAATATTTTAATTTAAATTTATTTTAAAAAAATAAATAAGTAGTTAGCTTGCCTTTTTTAAACAGTTTAATTTGGGGAAAAATTTTTCAATGTTAAAGCAAAAAGAAACATTAACTTTGCTATAAAAACCTGGGGTCGCTTTTTAAGATTTTTTAAAACGTTTTTTTCTTAAATTTATAGCTTTTCACCTCTTTTACGTTGAGAATTTCTGTAAGAAAATCTTAAATTTTAAATTTAAGCAAAGAAACCCCTTTTCCCAAAAATGCAAAATCAGCAAAAAGGCTAACTACGTAAATTTTAAGCCCCTTTTTTAAGTTATTCAGCTTTATAAAATTTCACATTTCCCCCGAATTTAAAATTTTTGTTTAACCCTTTTAACATGTTTTAAAACTAAAAAAATGGGTTTTTAAAGACAAAAATTTCCCAAAAAAGCTGTTACTTTTAACTTTGTTACTGAAAAGCAAGGGGAAAAAAACACTGTTTTCAGGGAAAAAAACATTTATTACACATTTTGTCCAGCGTGAAATTTTTTCTGTACAAAATCGTCTTATAGGGGAAATTAGCACCCCCGAGGTCAACTCAGGAAAGGTCCCAAAGGGGAAAGGGAACTAGGGCGCAATGATTCCAAAATCTTTTCTGATACTGCACTTTAATTTTTTGGCCCCAAAGGGTGATACCAAACAAAAAATAGCCCAAAAACCCCTTTCTAAAAGATACATCCCAAAATTTAACCCGAAAATCCCCCTTTAAAACAAACCACAATTTGACAATACTCACTGGGTACCAATACTTTGGCACAAACCCCAAAGGTAAAAAATGAGGGTTTCTTTGGGCCCCGACCCACACAAAATTTTCATGTTAAATGTTTCCAGAAAGCATAGTGCTGTTTTCCTACAAGCTGGCTTTTTTACCATTGTTTTTTCCCCTGGGAAAAAAGCTCTTGGGGAATTCCCTTTTTTAAACCCACAGAATAAACCCCCCCTTTTTTTTGATTAAAGTCTGGGGGTTTTGTAAAAATTCTGATTATTTAGAGTAGGTAAATTCCCCCCAAACCCCCCCCTCTCACTGTGAGGGCAACCCATGGCCAGCAATTTACCGAATAAAGTTCAAAAAAACAAAAAGATGGTTTTTAAAATTTTGATGTTTAAGAAAATTTTTACGGGTAAGCCCAAAACTTACTTTGCTTTTTTGAATATGCATCCCTGTATGAAACAAATTTACCAAATGTCTTTTCCATTAATATTGCAATTGCCTAATTGACCTATTTAAAGTTACATTTCCTGTAGCAGTACCCCTTGGTTTCAAATAAATACCCCCCTTCTTTAAACCCTTTCTTCTCCCCGCGTTTTTCCCCCCGCTGTTGAAAAATTATTTTGAATAAATTCTATTTGCACAGAACTGGATTTTCTGCAAAATTTTAAGGTTTTCAAAAGCATTTCCCGTGGAACCCCAGTTTTGTATGCCCCAGTTTTTCGTAGGGAAATTTGGGGTTTTTTACAACTTTTTTTCACCAAAATTTTGTCCCAGTTTTCGTACACCGCTCGTTTTTTGGGGTTAAAAAAAACCATACCAAAACCCCACGTGACTCTGCCCTTTAAGCGCCCCAAAAAAAAGCTCCCATGCATTTTTGACTCAGTTTGTCTGTTTTCGTTGAGTGAGGGATCACCCCGCACGTTTTATCTGAAAGATTTTTGTAAAATCCATTGTTTTTTGCTTTTTTTCGAGTGGTACTGTGTTTAAAAAAAAAATTAAAAAAAAAAAATTTTTGAGTGCCAGCCCCTTTTATAAAAAAAAGCGAAAACACGATAGAGTTCAAAAAAAAATCGGAAGGGAAAATACCCAAAAAAGGGGGTACATGTGGCCCATCTTGCCGGTGTATTGGGGAAGTCGTATTTAACAAAACAAATTCCATCCGGGGGGAAGAAAAAAAATATCAAAGGAAGCCTTTTGTTGCGAAAAAGGGGGAAAAATGCTAATGAAAAAGAGATTGCAAACAACAAAATTTAATTGTTGTTATTGTTGGTGTGGATCAACGAAAAACAGTTAGCAAAGATAGTGTTTAGGAGGGGATAATTTGAAAAAAAGGCAGGGCAGTTTTCATGCAATCTTGCAAAAAAAAATGCCCGGGAAAAATGGCATACACAGTGTGGTAAGGCATGGTGAGGTTTCAAAACGGGACAAACCCTGGGGGCCGGGAAAAATTGTTTATGAATTCAAGGGGTATGTAGAAGCTGAAAAAGGGTTCTTTCCCCCAAAACTTTTAATTTTCACGGGAAAAAGACCCTTTTTGGGGAAAAAAATGCCAAAAAGGGCCTACATCCGCAGGGGGAAAAGGTGCTACCAGGACAAGCCTTTGTTCTTGGTAATGTTTTGGGGTTTCAAAATGAAACCTTTACTGGTGTATCACTCTGAAAATCCCCGGGGTGTTCAAAAAAAAAACAACGTCAAACAAGAAAAAAATTTTGCATGATGGGGAAAAGGCTAACAATAAGGGTAAAGGGCACAAGGCCCAAAATTTTCATTGGGGAAATGGATCAATGAGTGTTTGTCCCCCAGTGGGGAAGAAACACCCTGCCCAAAAAAAATTGCCAATCGAGCCCCCTTCCCGGAAGGGGCAAACCATGCTCAACCCCGACTTGGAAAAACCAATTGTTGGGGGGGTTTTAGTTTCTCACAGTGAAGTTCTTGCCCCCTAATACCACTCTCATCCAGCCCATGAACCAGGAGGTCATTTCAAACTTCAAAAAACTCTACACTAAAGCAGTTTCGAAGGTGCTTTGAAGTGATCTCGGACACTGAACTGACCCTAAGAGTTCTGGAGGAATCACTTCAATATCCTCAATTGCATAAGCCTTATAGGCAAGGCTTGGCAGGGAGTGACTTCCAGGACAATGAACTCTGCTTGGAGAAAACTGTGGCCAGAATGTGTCCTTGAGAAAGATTTTGAAGGGTTTGAGGCTGACCCAGACGACCCTACGCCTATTGTGGAACCTATTGTGTCTTCTGGGAAGTTCATGAGGTTGGATGTGAGTGGCCAGGATGTTGAAGAGTTGGTGGATGACCACAGGGAAGAGCTAACCACTGAAGAGCTGTAAGACCTTCAACTGGAACAACTGACTGCAGCCAAGGAAATTGCTTCAGAGGAGGAAGAGAGAGGGGAGAATGTGCCTTCTTCAGTGATTAAGGACGTGTGTGCAAAATGGAGTGAGTTGCAAAGTTTTGTGGAGAAATATCACCCCAACAAAGCTGTTGCAAGCCGTGTCTGCAACATGTTCAACGACAATGCCTTGTCCCATTTTAGGCAATTCTTAAAGAGATGCCAGAAACAGACCTCTCTGGACAAATTTTTTGTACGACAAGGGTACAGTGACTCAAGCTGGCCCTAGTGCCAGTAAAAGACAAAGAAGGGAAGTAACCCCAGATAGGGCCTTGATACCTGAAGTCCTTATGGAAGGGGATTCCCTTCCAAACAATAACCTCTCCTCCTCCCTCTCCCCTTCTCGCCGTCTTCCATACACCAACAAGAGTCTTCAATAAAGGTAAAAGTGACGTTAAATATTCATTTATCCATTTCATTAGTCATTTATATTTATTTCTCGTTGTTTTCTGGATGTAAAACTATAGTTATTCTCTACGTATTGTATTTTTTGTTAATATTTTTGGGTGTCTGGAGCAGATTAATTGGATTTACATTATTTCTCATGGGAAATATTGCTTCAGTTTTTGTAAGGTTCAGTTTTTGTCAGACTTTTTAGAACAGATTAATCACGAAAACCGAAGTTCCACTGTATGTATGTAAGTACATACAACATGTACGTACCAGCGAATGTTATCAATATAGGTGGTATTTTATTCCTCAGAAAATTTTTCATTATAAGTCTTAGATCTACAATAACCTTGGTGAAGCTTTTGGTCATGGCAATGAGGGCTTTTCCTGAATTACCTGTCCATCCAGTAAAAAGATTAATCTATATCACAAAATAATAATCTCCATTGAGAAGTGGAGAAGAATCCTTCCTCCGTAAGCCATGCATGTCATAAGTGGCAACTAAAATGCCAGGAGCAAGGGGCTAGTAACCCCTTCTGTATAAATTTCTTTATAAATTACTTTTTCGGGTCACCCTGCCTTGGTGAGAGACGGCTGGTGTGTTAAAAGAAAAAATAATAATAGCAACAACAACACAATACAGGATAGCCCTGCGTTATGGCACTTTACTAATATGGATATATTAACTCCTTGACTGTCGCAACCCCAAATCCTGAGGTGTCTCCTGGTGTCGCAAAAATTTAAAAAACAAAAAATATTATTTTTTCTTATGAAATGAGAGACAATCATTTCCCGATGGTAATAACACCAAAAGTATGAAATTTGATGGAATTACGCTCTTGCGAAGTTAGCGACCTCAGCGATATTAACGAATCGGCGATTTCCCCCACTTTGAGCCCTATTTTCAGCTAATTCCCTTGTTCCAGTGAACCAAACTCATAAATATTTCTTTAGAACTTCATTTGTTCTATCGATTGAGTACAAGAAACCGCCCATTTACCAATTTCAACTACCCAATAAAGTGGTCAGAAATTGGCAATTTGGCCAATTTCACACAAATTAAAAAATATGCCAATTTCAAAATAGGGTCCAGTATGGACAATGTAGACATTCCTGGCTCTAAACTAACATTTTCTAAGAACATAAGAACATAAGAATGTAGGAACACTGCAGAAGGCCTACTGGCCCATACGAGGCAGGTCCTTATCAAAACGACATCTCCAGGCCCCTCTGATATCACTCTTACTTTCTATTTTGAATTTTTATTCATAAAAAAAATAGAAGATTTACTGTTATGCAGACTACTGCAATATTGTAATAATTATATAAATAATGTCAACCCATTCATGACTGCATATTAGAATGGCTAGCTGGACATTTATTGGACAATGACATCATTTGTTTACTAATGAACATTGGCAAAAATCAAACATTTCCCCTACTTTGAGCTCCATTTCAAGGTTCTTTTCACAATAAAACCAACCAAAATCACCTCTATTTCTATAATATGTTTTCCATTCTATCAAATGAGACCAAGAAAACGAGAATAGAATCATAAATACTATACGAAAATAGACCACAAAGTTGGTGTTTTAATTAAAAAAAAACGGTCAGTTTTTTTTCTCATTATGCACTGTGCTGCAGGATTTTTTATGTGGTGCACACTGACCACACAGACCCATTCTCTCACATGTGGGCCTACCAGCTTTCTCCTGCTTGATTTGAAACCGCTAGAATTTATGAGTATACATACGTCAAACATGGTGGCTCGTAAGACGTATATATACGACCAAAACAGTCAAATGGTTAAATTATACCACAAAATTTGTTTATACAACTCCTGATACACTACTCCAGCATCTGCATGCTACCTGTCTACTCTCAGTTTGTTTACATCCTCCATGAGCTACACATCTCCCAATTATGTCTGGAAACTTTCCAAAGCTTCAAGTGTGTTAAAGTTACTGCATACTTTATATACATTTAACCCTCAGTTTTCGTGTTTAATCCGTCCCAGAGCCATCAGCCAAAACTAAAATCGGCCACAACTGAAACCATTTTCCCCATAAGAAATAATGTAAATAGAATTAATCCGTTCCAGACACCCAGAAGCATCAACAAAAAAATTTTTTTACCTTAAAGATAGAGTTACATGCACAAAAGAACGAACATTACACATGACACTTACCTTTACTGAAGGCTGTTGTTGATGGATGGAAGACAGGGAGGAGGGGAGAGGGAAGAGAGGTTACTGTTTGAAAGGGAAATCCCCTTCCATAAGGACTCTAGGTACCAAGTCCTTATCAGGGGTCACTTCCCTAACCACTTCCCTAGCTTAAATATAGATTTACATGCAGAAAAGAATGACAAATAAATACAAAGCACTAATAAAATGTATAAATGAGCATTTAATATCACACTTACCTTTATTGAAAAGACTTGTTAGTGTATGGCAGACCGGGGGAGGGGAGAGGGAGGGGAGAGGGAGGGGAGTTTATTGTCTGAGAATATGACACTAATATCAACTCTATGGCTTATTTATCTATCACAATTCAACTAATATGACATAATAAACAATATTAACAACACAGAAACATGACATATACTCTAGAATGAATAAAATAAGTCATTATGTTTGTAACAACAGGTGTTGTGTTGTTACAAACATAATGACTTATTATGTTTGTAACAACACAACACTGTGAGCATAAGCCGTCCATAATGTTGGAGAAGGCTGCAGCTGAGGCGGCGTGTTTTCTGTAGCCCTATATAACTCCAACAATATTGGAGGAGTTAGTAGAATCACTTAA